TTGGACTGAAGTATCCCATCTTACCAGAGCTTATTCTGTCTTGGTAGCATTAAACAACTGAGATTATTTCTACTCGCCTTTGGATGGGATGGCTAGTGACCTTAGTAAATAGTGTTGCCTCTCGACCAAGTGGTGAGGGTTTGAGTCCCAGCTGGAGACTGTCATTGTGTTGTGGTCTTGGGCAAGACGCTTTACTCTCACAGTGCTTTCTCCACGCAGGTTTATAAATGTTTCCAGGCAAATTTAATGCTAGGGGGTAACCTTACGATGGACCAGCATCCCATCCATCTGGTGTAAAAACACTGCTAGTGGCCTCATGCTACGGAAACTGCAGATAAGGAGTGGCTTGATGGGTCACTTAGATCACATGCAGACTTTGCCTTACCTCTAGATGGGTTCATAGTCCAATGCAGGGTTACCACCTGTAGTGTGTTGTTGAAGACGTTTATTCTGCTTGTTCATACACACCATTTGGATGTGCGCACTTTCTGGATTTGCATAATGTGCTAGCCTACTTAATATGCATACACAAAATACAACATACAATAGGTTCTAATTATCACGTGCCAATATGGTACACCCCCCAGCATTAAATTTGCAAATTGACTTGCCCATGGACACAATAAAGTCACTGGTGTTGACTCAGTTCTAGAACACTTTATCCTTAATTTAGGGTGCTAACTGTTAGGCCACTGTTCCTCTTATGACATTTTGTACACTTTGAGAAGTATCTCTGCTTTTCAAAAATCTGCAGGAAGAATGAACGGAGGTATCAGACGATGACACCCACGCTAATCATGGCTTGCACCTTTGCCCATGCCTCTGTTTGTTTGCATTCTTCCTCTTGAATTTTCAAGCAAAAGAGATACTGCTTGCAGTCTAGACATTTTGCTGACCTTATAAACCTGACAAATAAATTATTTCTGTTGGTAGGCTTTTTAATGCTTCTAAAGGATAATAATGTTTATGATAATACCGTTGTACTTACGGCCTTTCCCTGCTAACAGAACACCACTCAAAACAGCAGCTGTTATTCCTCCAACTTTGATCTGAAATTGCCTGTCTGTACGAATCAGTTCGACAAATTCTACAGCCAAGTCAAAGAAAACAATTTCAAAATATTTATCTCATTTGTTCTTACCATATTATTTTTCCTAATAAAAAGATTTTCACTGGATTCATGAATATTACTGACAACAAAATACCCTCTAAAAGGGCTGAATGGCTCATTTTGGAATAAGAAGTTCATGAGTTTATTACCATAAGATTTATTTTCAACTGTGGTAAGAGTGTTCTTGACCTTTGCCACACTTTCCTGCCAAAGACATGGAAAAACAAGCTATATTATTTCACATGTATTTAAGCAAATATAAAGCAGAAGTTCAGAGATTTTCTGTTTAAACACAGCTTTGAAAGGCAAAATAGTTCCTTATGTTTATAAAATTAATTTTGGCTCTATTTCGGGAAGGTAGGGATGACCTGGATACAAGACTGCCTACCCACCTTGGCCAGGGACATTGTGTTGTGTTCTTGGGCAAGCCTCTCTCCACCCAAGTGCATTAACGGGTACTGGCTAACTTGATGCCGGGGGTTACCCTATGATAGACTAGC